ACAGCCTCCCGCTCCCCCGCCCCCCGTCCCCCGTCCCCTCTACCCGTCTCCATATGACTGTGTGAGTTATTCTGTGATATGTGGTTACTGTAAAGTTCCAGTCCGTCCAAGTTTAAACTGGTGAAACACCCAGAGACCCTCTCGTAGTGCAGGACGTCCCATGCTACTGTATACTGCACCAGAGCACCGCATGTAAACGCTTCTTAAAAGTGTTTGAACCCTAAAATAATGTGAGTGTTCTCCGATGTGTTCTCTTGCCCTATATCGGCCCGCCAGGCTGAATTACTGTTCTAGTTCTACTGTAAAACTTCTCGTCTGTGGTCTGCTGTTATCAATTGCATGTTACTATGAGGATGAAAAATAAATATTATATATATTTCTATATATAGTATTTATTTAATATATACATATATTGACTGTAAATTTCTCTGAAAAAAAAAAAATGTTACAAATTGTTGATTTGCTAGATGTGCAATACTTAATAAGTAGTTAGCCATTGCCAGAGCCAGGTTTTCTTAAGTTAACTGGCGTTCACAGGGTGAAGAATGTAAGAAAGAACTTTTTTTTTTTCTATAGTCCGTATTGATTGAAGTGAAAATGATGACTTCAGTTTGACATGACTGTTTAATGTTCGTCTTTTGAACTCTGAATCACGTGAGGAGAAAAGCTGCTGCTGTGTTGCTCTCTACGGGTGCAAACCAGGCCACACCCCCAATCACTGATCTTTTTATAATTTATTGGTTTGGCATTTTGCTTTTATTTGACAGTAAAGAGAGAGCAAAGTCAGGAAGGAGAGAGGGGAAGAATGACTTGCTGCAAAGGACCAGAAACCGGGCCACTGCGGTAGGGCCTTAATATGCGGTATGAGCTGCCAGGGCGCCCCACATGTGTTTTTAAACATCCAAATACTGTCACGTACATGAACTTTTGCTGCATTCAGAACTGTAATTCAAAGTTGGACATATCGGATGTTTCCCACAGCTTTGGTGTCACCACTTAAAAAGAACTACGAGAGGAGAAATGGCCATAAAGCCTCCATTACTGGCAGTTATTGAGATAAAATCACAACTTCTGACA